GTTGATTCTATGATTCTATGATGTTTCAGTTTGACAAGCAAAGGACTGAGCCACTTAGGATCAAATTTTAACCTTGTACTTGGAAACAAAGAGTAATCATGACTGACTGCTTTTTAATTAGGCATTGCAGTGCTAGAATTAATATGAAGAAGGGGGAAAAAAATCAAAAGAACCAGCAGCTTTTTTCAGTAATTGGAGAACAGCCACAGCCTAATTGAAGACTAAACTAGCAGCTCCTGTACCAGTGCAGAGGTGAGGTGATGTGGGTGGGGGGCAGGGATCGTCCACGGTGGGCGGCTGCTGCACATCCCTACTGCCAGGAAACTCTTGGAGGCAGGGCAGGACCCCTGTTGTAGTGTGGTAGCTCATAAATAACCCGTGCATTTCCAAACTACAAAGTAATTAGATGACAGGTAGGTGTTACTTGCAAACATACTAAGTAATACGTATGTACAATTTATTTAAAATACTTTTTTAACATACATATAAAACCCCCTCACTATTTATACAGTCTAAGTTCTAGCAACATATACAAATACTGAGCAACTACAATACATGCTGAGGTAAGAACATACATTCTGGGAGAATACTCAAGCCAAACAAGACTGAAATACATTTTCTATCCATACATCTTCACATGTAAGAGAGACCCATGAAATGTACCTTTGCTTTATTGTACATAGGTAAATTCTACTCTTAAGTGTATCATGCAACTTGCCTTGGGGAATCAATGTTTAACAGTTTGTAGCACACATTTAAACCCAACTGTTATGTATTCAAACATATCTTCTTAGCCCTAAGAGGTAACATGATTGAAGTCTGAAGCACAGGGAGCAAAAGGTAACATGATTGAAGTCTGAAGCACAAGGATTGGGACCAAATTCTTTCAGAAAAGGGGCTTAAATTCTTAAAAACATCAACACTGTAACAGCTCCTGATGCTCAGATAAAGCTGCATTACAACTGCTTGAAAAATAATTCACTGTAGAGAAACTGTTCAATTCTTATACCACCTTAGCCTACAGCTATCCACAGTACCACCACACTTGGCCTACAGTAAAAATTGAATCCAGGTGTGTTAATTATATCTGAGTTGAGCACATCCATTTCTTTTTATGGTAGATTAATTTTTCTAAGCCTAAACTGGTACAGTTGAGAATGCAAAGGTTTCTTAACTTGGCTGGAGTAAATATGTGTTGTCCCATTTTGGTGCGAACTAGTAACTTCCCACCCCTTTCAAATAAAAGCAGCTCAGATCATTTTGAAGTCATAGTTGACACTGGTGGGTAAGAACACTTATCGGTTTAAGAAAAACAACAGAGATTGCAGACTAGCTTTTGTCAGGCAGAAAGTTGCAATGACATCAGAAGTACAATTATAGGCAGGAATTTCTTTTTCACAAATGGGTCTTATATATCATCCTTACTTACATTCACATTTAGGCTTAGATACCCAACTCTAAGAAAAAAATCATTTTCAGTAAATGAGAATGATTAGAAATTGTAGAATTGGACTTTAAGGTAGCACAGAGTATGCCCATCTTTGTCAGCAAGGTGGACAGAGTATGCCCATCTTTGTCAGCAAGACGGGACAGTGGGATCAAGTGCACCCTCAGCAGGTTCACTGACAACACCAATCTGTGTGGTGCAGTCGACATGCTGGAGGGAAGGGATGTGCTGTCCTTGACAGGCTGGAGAGGTGGGTACTTATGAAGTTCAGCAAAGCAAGGTCCTATGTCTGGGTTGGGGCAATTCCACACACACCTATAGGCTGAGCAGAGAAGGCATTGAGAGCAGCCCTGCAGGGAAGGACTTGGGGGTGATGGTTGATGAAAAACTCACCATGAGCCACATTGTGCAATCGCAGCCCAGAAAGCCAACCGTGTCCTGGGCTGCTTCAAAAGGAGTGTGGCCAGCAGGTTGAAGGAGGTGATTCTCCCTCTCTACTCCTGTGAGACCCCACCAGGAGAACTGCATATAACTTGGTGTCCCCAGCATAAGGAGGACATGGAACTGCTGAAGCAAGTCCAGAGGAGAGCCACAAAGCTGCTAAGTGGCCTACACTAACTCCCCTGTGAAGACAGGCTGAGAGAACTGGGGCTGTTCAGCCTGGAGAAGACTGCAGGTATACCTTATAGCAGCCTTCCAGTATCTGAGCAGGACTGACAAGAGAGCTGGAGAGGGACTCTTCATCAGGAACAGTAGTGATAGAACAAGGAGTAATGGGTTCAAAGTGAAAAAGGAGAAATTTAGGTTAGATATATGGAAGAAATTCTTTCCTGTGAGGGTGGTGAGGCTCTAGAACAGGCTGCCCAGCGAAGTTGTGGATGCCCAGAGACGTTGAGGCTGCCCTATCCCTGGAAGTGTTCAAGGCCAGGCTGGATGGGGCTTTGAGCACCATGGTCTAATGGGAGGTGCCCCCGCCCAAGCAGGGGAGGTTGGAACTAGATCATCTTTAAGGTCCATCCTAACCCAAACCATTCAATGTAATAACTTATCTTAGATGCCGAACAGGCCCACAAGTAATTTTTGATTACAGAGTTTATATACAGCCCCCTCTGCAAACAAATGTGCAAGTGCTAAGTGAGGACACTGTACTGGCATTAAGGCACGGTGACAGCCCTCTTGAACAGTATATTTTAGGTTTGACTAAGAAGTTCTCTCCCCTGTTTAAGGACCTGGGCAGTAAACAAGGCTTTGAATTACATCACGAAAACAAACAGTAACCACTGAAGTCCATAAAACTGGGCTAATGTGTAGGTGGGAGGTCTCGCATGTAGGAATTAATTCAGCATCCTCCCAACAGTGCTGCTAGAATAAAAATAAAGCATTTTTATTGTGTTTTTCTTCTACTCCTTATGTAAAAAAGCTGTGCTTTTTTTTCCCCTAAAAAGATAAAAAAATGGCTAATATGACACCCAAACTGTTTTCATTTTGTGATGACCTAGCTAAAACTAATCTACATTACCCCAAATAGAAGGCTGACTGAAATGTTTTCATAGTACAGAACACTGGAACATTCAAAGGATACAAACTCCATTAAACACTTTTGCAATGCACACTCTTTGGAGCAGCACTGGTTCTTTTGCACAGGCTTTGGAATCCTTTATGCTTCCAATAAGAACAATCATAAGAAAAGCCCTAAGGCTGAAGCTTTTCAGTTGTGCTAAAACGTACCATATGTGCTAAATGCATGTGTAACACAAACTGTGCACCATTAGAATACCTGTGTGCTTCCTTAAGCACTCACAAAAGTATATACAGATCTTTCTTTGTATAAGCTCATGAACACACAATAGATACTCTGGGGGAGGGGAGGGCAGGGCCTTTCTGAATTCAGTCACCTCCAACATCTGAATGCTTCTTGCACACTGATCATCAGGGAAGTGTGACTCGGAGGCAGACACTATTCAGAATAGCCTTCACTTGATAGGGAAAAATATAAAAGCAGTTGCTGTGTAGTTTGCTTGTGTGAATTTGTGCCTCCTAGATCCCTAGGAAGGAATGAGGCTAAGTGGCTTAAAGAGATGAGGCAGAAGAGATTGTGCATACAGCAGCTTCTAGTTTTGGAAGGCTAACCAAAAAGGCAGGCACTTTCTGAGGAACACACAGCTGATTGTTCCTAACCATGTGAACAAAAGCTGAAATTATGTAACCCAGAATCAAAACTATTTTATGCCATGAAGTTAATGGGAATTTTGCCATCAGTCCTGATAGTCCAAAGTTGTGTAGACATTTTATAAGGAAAAAGGAATTTTAGAAGCTGCAGTGCTTAGCATATAGATGTTAGAATGTTAAGAGCTTTGGGTTTTGGGGTAGGGTATTTTCCCCAAGAAATAGTACCATTAGCAAGAAATGACTGGCTTTTGTACTTTAAACTGTTTCTCCCAATTATCATTCACATCTATGAATTACTGAAGATAATTGTGCAGAGTTCTTCTCTCATGTCTGACAGACAATTGTACAGTAGTAATAAAAACGTCCATACTTTTGCAGGAGACAAGCTGTGAATTGTATATACAGCTTAAGGAAAGGCATTTTAAGGAAACAGAATTACTGCTTTCCCAGACCTCCAATACCACATCTTTTTTGGTTCAACATTGTATTATTTAAGACTAACAATATCAAAACAGTGGAATTAAAAAATGAAACTGTCAGCTTTATGGAACTGGCTTTTAAAAACAAGCCATCATTCCATCTTTCTCATGAGCTAACTCAGTTCATCCTTACTGCCAGTGGAATGGGCCATGCTCTGTGGTACCTGGTACACGAGTTCGCCAGCACTGCCTGGCCCCTGCTGCCCCTTTGGTATATCGTACAGTGCCTGTGCTGAGGATGCACTGTCTGTCCTAGATAACAGCTTGTTGTAAGTTCCAGCCAGTGGAGGAGCTTGACTCCCTGCAGCTTTGAAGGTGGAAATGGAAGGAACGCCAAGAGGTGTGCCAGGGTGGCTGGACATGTCCATGATTATTGGAGTTGCGTACTCTGGTCCAGTTATGGGCAGTGGCTCGGCATAGGCATGGTAAACTTCTTGTATGGGTGAATTGTAAGGGTCCAAATCAGCATAACTTGCTTCTTTTCCTTCCTCTGGTTTAAAAGTTGATCTCTGATGAAGTGTGCTGACAATTCCCCCTACCAGTGGCTGAGCATATTCTGTGTTGCAAACCCCAACAAAACAAAATAAAAACACACTTGGTGGATACTTTTTTTTACAGCAGCATCACATTAAATACAACCTGTCAATAGTCTCACAGAGATTATTATCCCAGATCAAACCAGTGGTCCATCTCTGTTCACCAGTGCCAACCACTTTGGAAAAAGAGTCCTTTCCACCCAACAGTTAAAGCCATTGGGATAGCCACAACATTCCCATTTCTCAGGTTTATAGTTCTTCCCTGGTAAGCTGCAATTTCCCATGCTGTAAATCTGCCTGAAAAAAAATCTTTTCAAAATGTTCTTCCCTTCAAAACTACATTTAAATGAAATTATCCTGCCTGGCTTTGGATAAAAGGTGGTCCTTGGGGTGGAGGGTTTGTCCTTTGAGGAGGGAAGCCTGCATGGGGTCAGCTGAGATGTTTTAGTGAGAGTAGGGAACCAAGTGCCACATTTCAGATTTGTGCATAAAGATACTGTGATGACATTATTTCCAGTATATGAAAATATAACCAAAGAATTTTTCAATCCTTTATGGGGTCTAAGAACAAGTGCAACTAAATACAGTTGCTGTTTTACCTTAGGCAAGTGTCTATCTAGAGCACATCAAGTCTATGATACTCAGAGAACAGATCTGAAAAAGCCTGCATTTTAAGGAACGTGCTTACCCATAGAACTCCTCATTTCTCCTCTGTTTCCCCCATAAAACAGGGACTAACTGAATGTACCCAAATTCCTGACTTTTTTTGGCATGTCACATTTATATGTTTAATTTACATGGCCCACACAAACAGTGAAAAATACCTGCAGACTCTGTTTGCAACATTGTTGGGACTTCTCTTGGTCTTAGGTGACTAATTTCACTGCTGCTGTAGCGTACAGGAGTTTCTTCATGTTCTGCTGACTTGGTTGGGAGAAATTGCTTCATTCCTTTCCACCATCCTTCACATGGATTAAGAAGAAAAAACAAACAAACCAGCCAAGACTGACTATATACTCTGTCTTAAGCTACTGAAATATTTTTGCACCACAACTTGTACTTTGCAGAGCAGATAAATAACTCAATTATCAATATTTGCATGTCCCTAAGGTTACAAAGTCTTTTAATATTTTCTGGCAGATTGAAGATCCAGAGGTGACTACATGGCTCTCATCCCATCACCCTGGCTGAATGCTGACCCTCAGAACAACACATAACAGCCACTACAGTCAAGTCACTCTGCCCCTGAATGGCCACTAGCAGCAGTGCCAAGGCTGCTCATTACACTAATTAGGTAATGCAATACAACAGAGAAAACACTATAAAGTCAGACATGATTTTACATAAAATTACAGACAATCTCAGTTATAATTAAAAGCACATTTAAGTAACTGATTGTTAAAGTCATGTTTCTAACTCACATTTTGAAAAAGGTTCAACAGTGAATATTTTCAAAACCTGAATATAGCTGGGTTTAACTTCAGTGGAAATGAAAAGGAGGGAGTGTGGCCATGAGTGTTTTCTTGAGAGAAAGTAGGGAGGGTTGGTTATTGACAGGCTCCCCCCTGCCTTCCCCCAGTAGCTAGAGCTATTCTAGTTTTGCTGTCCATTAATATATTTCATTCCAGCTGTAAAAGAACATCCTGTAGGTAAAGCCCAAGAAACAGGAGATTCCAAAAACACAGAATACTGTTTAACAAAATCTGAGGTAGCCTGTGGGAGGGGACAGAGGTTTCACAGAGAAGAGCAGCCACATTATTTTGACGCTGCATGTGGCCACATTTCCTTTTAAAACAGAACTGCATACCAACCAGAAAAAAAATCTGTTTATCCCTCGTGTTGTATAATTAAGAGGTTCTATAATTCGTTCACTAAAAAAGAAAATCTGAAGCTGTCAAGCTCTAACAGGAGACACAACATTTACTGAAAAAGAAATAAAAAAATCAGAGAATGAAGCAGTTAAGTTTGGCCAGAAAAGAAATTCAGTGTTCACTATGCCTCCATCAGTTAGCACTAGAGAAGCTTCTTCTGGTGGAAACTGTGTTATTGCAATCTGAAACAGGCATCAAACCAAAAATGCCAAGAAAGAGATTTCATAAAACCATTTTGTTACCTGCACGATCCCAGTAAGGTAGATCATATGTGCCCTCAGCTTTTTTCTTGCTGTGAAAACAAAGATAAAGGGGGTATTTTAGCCAGTCTGCTTATCAAAAGATGCATTAGTTAATGCTCAGCAATTATCACGTTGACTCTAACTGGTCCTCAAATTTAATGCATAAGCACCAGTAACCTGGCTTGCCATCACCAGTCTGCTGCTACTGGAGAAACCAGTTTTTAGTTAAAGCACTTCCAGTGACAATAGTTTAAAAAATGTTGAGTTTGCTGTCCTCAATATTCAAGTGAGTATTTTCTCAGAGAGAATCCAATTCCCTCCACAAGTGCAGACCACGTAGTTCCCACAGCAATACATGCAGCATTTCATTCCCACACACCAGGCTAACATTCATTTAAAGTACTTCCATTGATCTATTCATTTACCGGTTTCTCCAATGCCACGCACAAACTAAGATAAGAATCAGAGTAGTGAAGACCATCACCAGCACTGGAACCAGAACTGCTGCCAATGCCACATCTGAAAGCCATTAAATTAAGTGGTGTCAGACAGAAAAGCTTCTCATAAATCAGTTTTTGATTTGAAAATTACTCGGGTAAAGCACAAAATTTTCATGTATAGCGTCCACCACACCAGATCCCGCAGCTAAGCTACCCTGCTGGCTGCTCCCATAGTGTGAATTTCAATTAACATCTGGCAGTTCTACATGTATGCACAGCTGGTGGTTTTGCAAAGCTTTTCATCAAAATCAACTGATTTGTTTTAATACAACATTTTTCTGTTAGAACAATGTATTACTTAGATAAAAAAATCCGGAGTGCAACCACTTAGGTTTGAACTCCTATAAGAAGTAAACACCACAGTGCCTTAACAGTTAATCCCAACCAGCCTGGGCTGGGTCTGTGTGTGACATGAGACCATCCTGTCCCCTGCCATCCCAAGGACACTTCAGCAGTGCCTACATCTGCAGTGACTTTGCTCCCTTTTCTGACCATTTTCTTCAATAACCAAAATGATGATGCCAGATCATGTTCTTCAAATTTCATGTCAACGACAGTGCTCCACAGAAGATTTGCTATGTCAAAAGTGTTTTGTTCTAAGAAATTATCGAATTCAAGAACAAAGCAGTTACATCTGATTCATTCAAAAGGGAAGTCCAAGTTGCAACTTCTCCTTCTGACAAAATTTGTTCAGTGATGAAAAGCTGAACTCAGTTTAAAGAAGTTTTGAAAGACAACTATTATATGTATATAAAACCCACACTGTATATACATATGTACTACATATATGACTTGGAAGATTGGTTTTGTTTCCACATGCAGTATGCAACTGTGAATTTTTTATCACACATGTATTTAGTAACTGGTAAATATTAAAAAGAAAATATAGATAGTTAGCTATAATATAGTACATACTGAGAAAATTTAAATTCAGAAAGCACACTTAATATATGCCAAAGCACTGAAACACGTTCCCAAACACTTCTACTGCTCAGCTGTGGATACCTTTGGTTACACTTGGAGTCACTGTGGTGTTCTTTATTTCAGGTGTGAAAGTTGTTTTATCTGTCTGCAGCGAAGTCTTCACTGAATGAATGATGTCATCCATGAAGTCAGCATTCTTCTCATCATTCTTGTTCTGAGGTGGTGGTGGTGGTGGCAAAGTAATTTTAGGAGCACGAGCTTCAGAAGAAAAGAATTTATCGGGAAAGTTTTTTGAAGTACTAGTTTTCCACGATTCTCATTCAGGATAAGACAACTGGAATAGTTTGCTATAAAGCTTTAGTTTGTGTTACATAATAAGGAAAAAACCTCCATGAATCAGTAACATAGAAAGCAAGTGACTGGTGTCTTTTGAAAAACTTATTTTGTAAATTACCTTGTTTACACCTAAATTTGGTATTTTCCAGGTTAAGGGGCAATAACTTTTGAAAAAATTCAGAAGTACCAGTTACAGAAGGATTATGCAATCAAAAAGTACTTTTTTCATTGAAAATATATCTACAATGTAACCTTTAACCTTAATAATTTCCCTTGCCACCTTAAAAATGTCACTGCTTGTCTTGCACAGTTGAAAGTTTTCAGTTGCCTTACCTATGCTAAACTGACATCCCAGCAATTCTACTTTCATTGCAATTTTCTGGTGCCATTTTAATGGGTTAATCCTAAAAAAGCGTGCGATAATAGGTGGAATGAAATTGTTGCGAACTTCCTGGTACAATTCAGTATTCCCCTGAAATATCTAGAAAAGAAAAAAAAGAGAGAAACATTAAATTGTACAAATCTAATAGCAACTAAGTAACTGCAAGCAATGTTGATGCTTTACTTAGGAAAAATAAGCAGTGCAGGATCCTGAAAATTTACCCCAGAATGGTGCTGCTGCCTGTGCATCTCCACTCCCTAGGCCCTATTACATATATAACCAAATAAAGCAAAGAAAGGTGTGTGTACATGTATGCTCAAAGCTACTTAGCTCAGAATAAAGGTACCGTGTAAAATCCTACTGATGCTCCCCAGGCAGTGCCTGCTGTTAAGGACATCTCACATGTTTATGGCACTGAGGAATTCTAACTCGGTCCTTTATGGTATTTTTCCCTTACTCTTCAAATATGTGTATAGAGCAAGGAGTTGCAACACCACGGAAGCAGGAATTAAGCAGTGTCTTCACACAACACAGCAGTTAAGCACAGTCTGTCTGGATAGTATATATCAGAAGCATAAGGAGACACAGTCAAGTGTGTAACCACACTGTCCTCTTGTGGCTGCTGTCTACAAGGGCTGAACCAAAAGCAAAGTAAAAGGATTTGGCTTGACAATGTGAAAGCTCTCTTCAGTCTCACAATGGGCCATGCAATTCTGGAAGAGAAAGGCACAGACTGTGCGTAAAGAACGAGCTCAAGCTGGTGCTTCGCTGCCCATCCTTGCACACTGAGAACTCATCAAAATGTGACAACATAGAACGGGTCTGTCTGGTTGAAATTTAAAAGCAGACAGCAGAGAGACAGTCACTGCGTGATGCAGTGTAAGCATACTACAAACTCACAGCCAACTATGGGTTCTGCACCTCCCAAGCTGCTTAAAACAATATAGCAGCTTGGCCCAGGACTCCAACCCCCCCTCTCCTTTCAGAGACCTGGCCTGGCATCATGCTTTTAGGTAGGAGCTGTCTCTCCATGTTAGTGCACAACAGTTGGGCTTTGGCTCTGCACATGCAGCTCTGTGGTGCTGCTGCAACACAGGTCACGATAGAGGTAACAGTAAATGAGTTTTTTGTTTTTAAAGCACTGATACAGGTGTTGAAGATCACTTTGGACATAATGCAGAACAGAATTATGGCACTTGCCTGAAAAAACAAATACAACAGGGAGTTTCTGCTCTCTCATACCACTTGGTAAACAATAAAGCAACCGTGCCATTCTTGAAGACAAGTGCTGCACTGCGTAACAGCTGATGTGCCTGCACAGCATGGAGTGGTCAAGAGCTTTTAGCACATCTCTGATCAATGCAAATTGCTGTTCTTTCAACCTTAATACACAAGGTAAGAGATTTCTGTATTGCACTCCTGTGTTTAAGTTTTTGTAACAAAATGACTAGAATATCCCTGTAGGGTTGAAATAGAACACTTATTCCAGGAAACTATCCATTCAAAAGCAAAACAAGCCACACCTTAAATGAACCTGGGGCATTCAAGGGACTCACTCCTGAGCTCTCTGATGTACTCAATGTGTATCCACCCTCAAAAGACACTCAAGCCCCACTACCATTACTTACACATAAGAATTTTGGTTTGTCCTTACAGAGGCATTGATCGTCTTTATCTGCACTGACTGATCAAATAGACACAGTCAATGTAGTTAGCCAAGGAAAAATAAATCACTCAGTATGATGTGGTACTTCATGTTTGAGTATGCTGGGTTTTCTACATCTTTAATTAGCAATCATCATGTTAATCTTTATGCACCAAGTGACACTATTAGACTAACTGCTAACCCATTCATGATACTAAAAATCCAGGTAGGCAAACATAGATATTTCCCTTGAGAGTGCATAGTCTGCTGTTCCCCAGCTTACTGCAGTGCAGGTGGACAAGCACGTGGGTCTCAGTGATATTTGTTCTGCTCATTGTTCTTAAATATACTTAGCATCAATAAATGAAGACAGATTAAGTGTGGGGGCAATTCCATGATGTCATTTTGGAAATAAATGACTAAGACAAAGCAGTCACAATCCATGTGCCCACAGAAGACTAGGTTCCAACTTACAGCCACTTTCCCCCTAAACCAGGGCAATTTTAAGACTTATTTCTTTTTTAAGATGACAGGTTTGGAGTTACAGATCTTGCCAGATAATTATTTGGTTTGATAAAGATGCAAATGAGAAGCAAAATACAGAGGTGACTTTCTGAGGGGATGGGCCCAGCCCAAACTGCCACAGTACATCCTTGTTTGTGCTGTGTCTCCCAGTGGCCACTACTAAAAGAAGGTACAAGCCACATCTGGCTACCCAAGCAACACATGCAGAATTTATGGATTAGGGACACAGACGTCCAACACTGAAAGTTTCACATCACATTTCTGAGGTTAAGCATGTAACAGCAAAGGCAAGAGGAATTGGTAATGACTATTACCTGCAAGAAAGATTAATAGTGCAGAAGTTCTCTACTCCAGGCTTTTATCAGTCAAAGCTTTTCATGGCCAGTGTTATGAGTAACATAACTTTACCTGCAGCTCTGTACTTTTTGTTGCTCTAATTTTTGCACAAAGAAAATTTGTCTCTGAGCTCAATATAGCACAACCTTTTCAATGAGAAATCACTTTCATATTCCATTTATTACCAAACTCTCTCCATTTCCCTCTGTGCTGTCAAACAAAACTTCTAACACTGCAAACCTGATTTGCCATTTTTCCCCAATTTAAGCATTTTCAAGCATTTTATTTTTTTTCACATAGAAGAAGTTTAAGGGAAGTTTTTCTTGAGTGCTGCCAGATTTCTAGAAGCTATTTGCAAAGAGGACTACAGGAAAGTCTTGGAAAAGCTCCTAGTCTCCTGAAAAACGTTAGGAATTTCAAACATCTTTCAAAAGCACCTCCCAGTCATCTGGTGTGCAATTATGTAAGGCTCAATCAAATGCAAGCATATGCATCCCAAGCAAAGCTGCATCAAGTGAGGTGATGGCAGACAGAGGGAAAATCTGCTCTTTTGCACCATACTGAACCATTTTTTTTTTCATCTAACTACAACTGGCACTTAGGTATATATGCTCTGTCATGCACTGTCCCTAGCGGCACACAGAGTGCAAAGAAAGATCTGTTGTCTGTAATTTCAAGTTTCACAATTTGCTTCATTTCATGAACGTGCAAGAGGAACAGTATGTTCAAATTACAAGGCAACAGCTGCAAAGGTTTACTAAGGAAATTATCAAACTAACCCTGAAGCCTAAATGCAGGCAGGTGGTTACCTGAGATTTTATCGTATGGCCAGGAGAGGGCACTCAACACTAGGAAAATATCCTGGATTTTTATTTTTCGTTTTTCTTGGATACTTCATACTAACAGTCACGTTAGAACACATGTAGGTTTAAGGACATGGACCAGCCCTGAGAGTAAATTCTCCTCCTTTCTTTCAGGAAAGTTTCCTACTGCAATTACACTCAGTGTTCAAAAATCTCTTCTTTAACAAACTTCAGCCTTTCACTTATCAACAAGATGTAACTACTACCTTGAAACATTCTTATCCCACAATAAACAGAAGAAAACCAAATACAGCTACAGAGTGATCATTCTGAAAAACTGTTTCTAAAAAGCTAAAAAGTTACTAGTTACTGTGACATGCATGTACTACCACAACCCTATAGAAGGTAAATTATATCCAAATATTCTAAGAAAAAGAAGGAAATCCAGTTCCAGTCAGTTTACCAAGAATCCTGATTTAAGAAAATCTGATTTGAACCACCAGGACATGAGTCTTCTCATTTTTAATGTCTATTAAATACTGCAAAGCTGTAAACAGAAGGAAAATAAGCTTATCTTGCTACCTGTTAGGTACATTTTCTGTGTGGCAAAGCACTTGCAATCTGAACGTGCAATTTAATTTTTTAAGGCAACTCCCCTCTGCAAAGGTTATTCTCTTATATACAAAATTTAACAGTATTTGGTCAAAAAGGAAAGACTGACAGAAACATTATAGAAGATGAAAAATTACACACTCCCTAACATTTATTCTGTAACCACAAGAGGATAAGAAAATAAACTTTAATTCGCAAACATGCAACCTTTTTTAAAAGAAATATGATTATTCTTGCAGTGATGCAGTACAGACAACCTTCCACTGGCAACAGAAGTTTCTCATATAGAATATTCCCACCCCAAATGGTAACAAAAATATCTGAATTTCAGAACTGTTCAAGTCCTTACATATTTGCGTATTTTCTTCTGCATGTATACTGTCTACGACTCAAAGTAACACTGAAAAGGAAGATTATCCAATGATTTCTCACCATATCAAAATAAGTTGCATTTACAACTGTGAAATCTCCACAGAACATACCTAGAAAGTGTGTGGTATTTTTACCTTATCTTTATCCATGCCAGGTTCTCTGTACACTGTCCACTTCTGTGCGTCATCACTGTATAAAATTCTGTAGGCTGAGACATAATAGTAGTGTTCTGCTAAAGTTGATCCAGTAGTTATAATGCCTGTGAAAATGAAGGTGCTCAGTTAAGACAAAAAAAAACCTGATAGCAGTTTGTACAAATTAACAGATCAGCTTTTGAATCCAGAGTTGCATAGCTGGAGTCTTCACTGGTCCAGTTAATTTCAGGGAGTTTATCCAAGGTGCCAGGGTCTGAAACTCCTACAGTGACTGAAACTTAATATATTATCATTTTAGTTACTTTTAAATTTTAATGTTCATGATAAAGACTTGTTAAGCAGTTTCCCCCCATTTCTTGATGGAAATGGCCTGTTCATTTAACCACAGCCCACTCCCATCTCCAGCTGCTGAGACAGCGCTGCTCTTCCCTGAGCTTGTACTGCCACCAGCCTAAAGGCACCATTCAAAGACTGTAGCTTCCTACAGTTGAAGCTTCAGTGCTGCAGAACAATTCACACAGAAAAGCTGCTTTGTAAAAGCTTATTAGCACAGGAATTAGAGGAGTGATGTAAAATCTAAATAGTCCCCAGGGAGGTAATAACAAAGGCTGCTCGTAGACCTGAGTTGCTTAATGACAGGAAACCAAGCTGCTGATACCAGGGTGTGTAGCTGAGGTTACAGAGCCCAACTCATACATTTGAGAAAGCAACAAACCCAAACTGCTTAAAGGAGGACGTTTCACAACACCTTTAAAGCTCATGACTCTAAGAACAACAGCAAATCACCTCTGAACAGACACCTTTAAAGCTCATGACTCTAAGAAGCACTCCAGCTAAAGCCAACTCATTTTTCATTTAAGTCAGATGACGAACATGCCCATTAACAACAGCAAATCACCTCTGAACAATTAAATCAAACCAGAAAACAACAGCATTGGCACCGAAGACACAACAGCTGCACTGCTACCCCAGAGGTTAAACCCAAAATGCCAACACCTCAGTGCTTCATTATTTGGTATAGGGAACACTGTGATCAACTGGAAACAGTAACCTTGAGCTCGCTTGCTCAACTCCCAAAACATGAAGTAAACCATCCAGAGCAGACTGGGAAACAGCACCTCCAGCTGTCTCTCCAAATAAACACAGCTATTAAAATCACAACGGCTGGTCCATCACCACCTCTGTGGAGGAGCAGAGCCTAACCCAGAGTCTGGCTGCATCAGCCTGCACGGTTTGGCCTGTTTCCTGAGGGAAGGCACAACTGACTGCTGAGGGGCACACAATGCCAAACTCTTGGCACAAGTTACCCTTCAGGTGAGGTGAAGGGAAGGCTGCCAGCTAGTTTACTCTGTCTGCTGTTTATCTTGCACTGCTCTGCAACCACTCCTATCTCTACTGTTGGATTCACTACAGCCGTGCCAGGCAGTAGGGAAAACCTACAAACGTAAGTCAGTACACCTGCATCAGAAGTATCCGTGGACTGAGCTGACTGGATTTCAATTTCCACCTCCAAGGAGACAATTTGCAGGAAAAGCAAAGCATCAAGAATCCAATAAACCCACAGAAAACACTTCCAACAAACGGAAGAGGTGTCTTCTGCTAAGAAACTACACCTCACCTCCAGGCTCCTCAGTGTATTAGCTAGGACACAGAACCAAATTTGCTGTAATGGCAATTGTCACCTGGACTTTCATCTATGATGAAGCACTGGAAAAAAGTAACCAAACTTTTAAAATGTTGCTGAAAAGCCACATCAGATTCACTTACCTGTTATTCTCTTTTCTTTGTTCAAGTCAATCTGCAACCACTGATGTTCATCACTGATAAAAGCAGCCCAAGGAGGACCAGGCCTTTTTAGTCTGGCATTTTCAGGTTTCCAAATGTTCACTTGTCCTGTTTGGTTAGGCCACTCAAGAATAGATGATGACGTGATCTGGGAATCAGGAATTACCCCAGATTCCATCCCCAGTGTCCCATAGCAACCTGAACAAGAAAAAGTGAGGTTTCAAAATGAGAACTCAAGTTACGGTGCTTGGATTTTAAGACTCTACAAGCAAATATTAAACTGCCACCTAAATTTATTCCATAACACTACCAAAAAAACACAGTCTTCCGCTTTGCAACAGTGATACTGTGGGGAAATTTTGTAGTCTTGATAATGCCATAATTTGTCTGTTCTAAGAGTGATGTGGATGGTCTCTCAGTCACCACTCATACAGAGTGCTAGACAAGAAGCTTTGGGGAAACTGTCACAGTTAAAGAGTATATATGTTTGATGCAAGAATGGGAAACTGACTACTTGATCAGTTATTCCTTTTGTGTCTATATAACTTGGTTTTTAAACCCACCTCAGTGTCATAATGTGAATTTGAACAAAACACCAAAGGATGTAGGAAAGTCATGTCACAATCCTGGCCTTGAGCTGAAACACACCCTTGACATTAGTTGCAGTTTTTTGGTCACCATTCTTACTAAAAGATTATTCCAATGTTGCATTCTGCTGATGGCTAAAAAGTATCTCCTAAGTTCACGGCTAAGTTCCCTTGTGCCTAGTTGATATCCATTTGCTGTGTGCTAAAATCTTGCTCTGTAATGCCAACACTTTTCCCCTCTCACACATGTAATCTCCAGCAATATCAGCAGAGAGCAATCTTTGCCTTCAGTCAGTCAGGCTGAACAACCCAGCCTAGTTTTTCCCTTCTCCTGTGAGTTCCCCCTCTCCCTGCAGGTACCACTGCCATCCCCTCTGCACCGAGGTCAGGCACTCATCCCTCAAAGGAGGTACAGGTGGCAAAGCTCACATGCAACTGGATCCCAGACAAGGCCTTGCCACGTCCTGTGAGATGGCATTAATAGTTTACTGTCTCTACTGGGTGTACTTCCCTTGCCACAGCACAGGATCACATTAGCACTTCACTGAATCTGTCTTTTCCATCTAATGTGCTGCCAGTTTAAAGCACAAATGCCTCAGTGTTTGTGTACCTGACTGACATTCCACCTTTTGCTTTGATTCATCACTCAAGCCTAAAAGTCAGGTAGGTCTTCCTGTACAAAGAGTTTCATCTTCCTCTGCACTGACCACACCTGTAGCATGAAAAACATACTTCTCTATTTTGTACCCAGTAATCAAACCAAGTACTACAGAAGAAACACACTAGGACCTTCACCACAGTCTGATAAACCTCATTTAAGCATACTGTAGTCTTCTTTTTCCTTCAGCTAACTCCTAGGGAACCCAACTACACAGACATTTGGGTCACTGAAATCCAGAGAGTCTAGATCAGCACTTTGTCCTATCTCTCCATATTTCCAGGCCATTTAATTACTTTCATACACACTATGAGATCACATTTTGAAAGAAAAAAACCCAACCCAACAAACACTGCTTGGATCACGGTGTTTAATATTCTTCATGCATAAGGACACCAGACACGCAATTCCTTCTTTCAGCTCTTGCAGAGGTCTGGGAGAGAAATTATTTTGAAATTCTGTGAATGGTATTTCCTAATTTTTGCTTGTTTGTATATATTTCCATCTCCAAACACTCTTGCCCATCAGATTCCTGTCTTTATATCCCCATTCAGCATCCCTTTTGTTTATATATTAAGTACTTGCTTACTTTTGAGGAGTATGTGCATGATTTTCCCCCATTTTTGTTTTTAAACTTTACCCTTATAAAAAACAGATGCTATGGTTTTCTGGGGTTTTTTTATACTGCTACTAACACAGTTAAAGAGACTAAGAAAAGGCCACCGTCTTCACAGAACGTCCAACATCCACTCCAAGACAGCATTTAAAGTGACTGACAAAATAACTTCTATATAGAAAACTACAGCTAATTTATTTGAAAGACAGGTGAGACAGAAAGTAAACACATGCAAATCAATAAAGCTTCTTGTCATACCAATCTTCAATCTGGTATACACGATGAAACAAAACATAGCAGCCAAGAGGGGACACAAGTTAGTCACAGAGCAAGAGAGACAGTGATTTATCACACAGCATTTGGTTGCAAGAAAACGGGAGGAAAAAAAAAGTAAAAGAGGTGGAGAAAGTTTCTTAGCAGACAACCAGGAAAGTGTAAGGAGTAAACCTGGAAAAAAACTCGAATGCACAGTTGTTACAAATAAAGAGCAACTCTTAAGTGCCCAGTTCTGCTTTAGCACCATGTTCAAGTCAAGTCATTTTAAACTAGACTACAATAGAGGAATGTAACCTGAAATGATCTCCTTCTGCAGATAAGCAAGGATTACTTTACACTTCGCTGCCCCTACAATGTTGTGATGATTAATCATCAAATTGAGATAGTAAAACAATTCAGAAATATACATCACTGAGGAACGCAGTTAAAAAAAAGGTTCATGAACTAGAACAAAAATGAAGAAATAAAATACCTGCACACTTATTTCTACTCACAAAGTTTGCATGAAAGTATTAACATGGAATACATGTGGCAATGCTTACCACTCGTCTTAAAGGTGAAGAGACTTGTAGATAATGGTCCCCTGCAGAGAACAAAAGATGTTTTGCAATACTCAGAGAGGAAAATTGAAACAAACTGTCTTCAATTTATTTTTCTTGTCTGACTGCCACTGACACCTATGCACATATGCCTATACAAGCACTTAATGGTTAAAGTAACACTTCCCATCACCAAGTTATAGTGCTTTTAGTACAAACACCTTTACAACTGAATCTAGTTCAGAGATACTGAGTTCAATAAAGTCTTTCAAGCAAACATCTACCCAGCAAAATGCATGACTTCATTGAAATGCTTCCCTTTCAAATTAAGCTAATCAAAATAACAAGAATCAATCCCCTCTGACTGCTTTCATTCCTGGGACT